AGTTAAGTCCATCATAATTCAGTTCATTACCTTTACCATTACCGACTTTTTAGCGTCTTTACGAATCATTCGAGATACCACTCATGGTAATTTTCTGTTTTCACCGCTTGCAACAAATGCTTACCTCTATCCGAGCGATGAAACTGATGCACTGTTAAGCGACGTGATGACATATGAAGGATGTTCATGTGCTTCTAGCTATAGTTGTAGTGCACCTGCATATATTTACAATAGTACGGCTGGAAAAATATTATTTTCAGTACCAGGTATGTATATTGGATGTTATGTGATTGAAGCATTGCGCCAATCAACTCTTGAATGTTTCTTCAATCAAACATGCTTTGATGAGCTCAGATCCTACTTGAATGTGACTTTGTCCTTAAATGCAACCGTTCTAAATGTATCGTCACTTACAAAATTCTCTCCAACAAGCACAATCGCTGAGCTACTTGATGAATTGATGGTTGAAACGTGGAACTGGTCTACTATGTATTCAGAATATTATAATGCCTGTGATCCGTTCGAATGCACTTATACACTGACAGTTAGAAACGATGTTGTTTATATCATTACGACGTTGATTGGTCTGCTCGGAGGTTTGGTAACGGCTTTGAAATTGATTGTACCATGTATCGTGAAGCTCCTTCACAGGAAGAACACAGTAATGGTTGCAAGCGTTACTATCGTCGGAGCTGAACGCTTCAATTGATTCTATCACAATGAAATACTATTTAATAATTTCGGACTCCATACAGTACATTGTTTTATCCTGCGTGTAATTTTCATTTGCATGTTGTTCATACAGGTTGAGTTGAAAGCCAGATATAACCCCATTAAGTCGTTAAGCATTTCCACGAGAAAATGACATTCGAATCACATACGAATTTTATGACTAATTCTTGACGTTGTCATCATTAATTATGACTTTTTTCTATTTCGATTTGATTTTTGCAATTTTTCCCATTACCTGTATATGGATTCTACTGGACTACAGTGACATGAAGCACAGTCTATTCTATTGAATCAATTATGAGCATTGATATCTGGTTGCTCGAACGCTGTTGCTATACAAACAAAACCTGATCATTGTATTACATGTCTATCAACGAGACATTCAACAAAACTATATATTTCGAAGACCGACAGACTCATGATTACTCCGATTCATTGGTTGACCGTTAAAATGTCGAAAAAATAATATCGACATGAAAAATGGTCGGTAAATGCATTAGAGATTTATGAATAGCAAAGTACATGTTTTATTATAGGAAATAATGTTAGCATTGTAACAAAGATCAAATATCGGTAATGACAAAAAACTGATTTATGTGTCATTTGTTCCGCCTGGAGTGTAGGTATGGATATAAGTAGAAGAATCTGGCTGAAAAAGTTAACTAACTATCATTAACACCCACGCCTACACTTCAAAGCCACACCCCACCCACATCCACACTCACAATTTGAAAACATATTCATGTACTATGAGTAAAGGGTTTTCTTTATTTGAATTTATAAATGAAATAGCTGGAGATTTTGGTTGAATTACATCTGTTAAAGATGCAGCAGCTTCAGTCATAACGATAGAATTTTAATTATATAATAGTTCTTCGTTCAACTCTTATAGTTAATTAATATCAGATATTACTCATCACCGTTACTAATAGTTAAAAATCTAGACTAGTAGAATTGTAAGAAAAGCAATAATGAACTATATGTGATAAGAGTCACCATTTACTGGATATATCACTTTGCCTAATATTTCCCTGTTTCGATGTTTTTCTACTTCAACATCTACTTTTCGACATTTTTCCACTTCTATATTTTTTCTTTTGACATTTTTTCTTTGATATTTTTCCAGCACACCGATTCAATAGGACAGAACCATGTGTGTCTACCTAACAAGTCGTTTTCTGACCAAGCACACTTCGTTGTGCTCATCTGAAACAGACCTTTGGACGATTTTCATGCAATGACACTAGATTCAAATGCACCAATTTTTGCTCTCATTCAATCATTGTCATACTTGTCACATTGTAACAACTGACGTATTCATCTATCCCATCGTATACCGTGTCTACACTTTATTTATTGTATAATTTATATCAATGTTGTGTGCATACAAACGCCAAAAGTTTATGTTGTCCTCTAAAACATCAATAAACATTTATTCGAAAACAATTCATCAGCATTGACTTTTTTGCTCATGTGCATGAGGCAGAAGCAAAGATTGTATTTTTCATTCAAAGAAATTATGCAATTAGACTCGCAGTGAATAGTGACAGTAAAGAAAGTTTATTGAATCATAGTTAATTAGTAACATTCGTTAGAGCCCATCTCCCTTTTCTGTCGACTGAGTCTCTAAGCGACCATTTAAATTACATGCACAAAGACCATCAAAATCTCGGTAGAAACGAATTGCTCTTTTTTGTGAGTATCCATCAACAAGAAATAAAAATAAAAGCAATATGTCTTCATTTGTTGATATTGAAAAATTCAAACTCTCAAGCCAACACAAGTTTTTGAATTTTTAAGATTTGTGTGATTGTATCAAATTTTACCTCTCTCTTCAGGCTTCTCTTACATATCAGTCACTAATAGTGGAAGAATTCAAGTATCACTTGGAAGAAAGAGAAGTACGACGATGAAACGACTTTTTTTGTGACATCTTTATGGGTGAATCCGTGGGGTTTCTACCACTTTTGTAGAAAAAGTTTTTTTTTCGATTTTGATATTCTAGTTAGACATAACATCGTCGAAAACGGTTAGAGGTAATAGTAAAAATTTTTCTGGCACATAAACTTTGGAGATCCAGATCATTTTTTAGAAACAAGTCGATGTATTTGTAATTGGATATGTTAAGGGTCTCAACTACGTTGCAAAATGATGAAATTTTCAACGTTTGTAGAGCTTTTAATTCAAAGCACTTTGATAAAAAAATTCCAAAAAGCTTTTATGTTGTCGGAAATAGACGCAGAACACTGGGAGCAGTGAAAAACGAAAACCTTTCAAAAAACGATTTTTCACGAAATTTTGACAAATTGTTGTTTAGTTTTCTTCCATACTTATGGTATTTTGAATCTATTTCCGACAAAAGAAAAGCTTTGGAGAATTTTCTTTTATCAAAATACTTAGAATTAAAAGCTCTACAAACGTTAAAACTATCATCATTTTGCAACATACTTGAGATCCTTAATATATCCAATTACAAATACATTGAATTGTTCCTAAAAAATGATCTGGATCTCCAAACGTTATGTACCAGAACAAGTTTTTTCTATTACCTCAAACCGACCGGATTCACCCTTACATGTGTCATGATTGGGATATAGTTCAGAAGAGAAATTAACGAATATATGAGAATAAATAAATCACTCAGTATTCAGATTAACTTTTCTTAGGTTTTGGACAATTGAAATTCCATAAAACCATAAATCTTTTGCTTCGATATTGAAGAATAAAAATCACTTGGTTTCAATATATCAACGCGAAAATTTGAAGAAGAAAACGTACAGAAGATCGAAGACTAGCTCCGATAGTCTGCAGAAGAGTCATAAGAGATGCTCTAGAATTTCAAAGAGAATATGTCTTCCGATATTCTCTGTAGTATTCCTTCTAGCATAGAAGAAAATTAGACAAAAATGTAATATAGTGACACAGACAGCTGTGGGATTTCTTAGTTATTATCTAGTCTCTGTTAAGGCACTTAATCGAACAATCGATGTGTTATTTCATTTTTTTTGAAACTTTTGGTTCCCCATTCATATCCTTTTGATGATTTGTGCTAAAGACTTATTATAGAATTATAAGCTTTACAAAAAATTCTTTTGAGATAAATAATTATATCCGAGTCAGTAAAGTAATGTCTGGAGAAAATTGAATCATGCAACTGGAATAAAAGACTGATGATATATTCGAACTGAGTTTTTCCTTCCGCATAATTTTCAACTGTAAGTCATGCATTGCCATTCTCAAGACGATTGTCGCGCATCATGACCACTTACTGAAGAGTCATATTCTCATTAAATTATCGATTAATAATCTATAACAGCTCGTGACGTACGTATCTACATCAGTGAATGTGCTTGACAAGCTATCACCATCAAATGTCAGCTATATTTAACAACTACGTGTTTTACTTTCTGTTTGTTGAACACAAATAATTGTAAAAGCACTAATGAAAACATTTTGACAACAATGAACACAATACGTTTTTTGACATTTTTGGGAGATCGTCGTCAATAGTCTCCATGGCAAACATCTGCCAGTAGCGAGTTTCAGTTAAAAAAGATTCTATTTATCGAATGAATCCATTTGAACCACAGCAATCTTAATTCACTTGGTTTGTCTTTAGTATTGTCCATGAAAAATTATTTTATATTTCAAAACTAATTATGAAAATGAAAATGGAATTGTTTCATCTTTTAGCGAGTCTCTTTCCGAAACAATCTTCACAAATAAGAAAACCATATTTGACAATATGATAATGAGCTTATTTTTATCGAAAAGTATTAATGCGAGTTTTGACTTTAATCATCGATATGCTGTTGGCATATCTGAGTGCTCATAGCTAGCATTCAAATTAAATTTTATTTGCAGACGTAATAAAAAGAATAGAGAAAATGTGTGTGTTCAAAACTAGGTGATAACAGTGCATTTCAATATTTCAATTACGATTCAAGCAGCATCAAACACATTCTCATTCGATATTACAAAAACCAAAAATGTCAATTTTTGAAATAGCTCTTCAACTCAGATTTTGGAGTCCAATAATATTTTTTGCAATCGGAGCTCCAGCAGCGTTGCTCAATGCAATAATATTCATTAGCATAAAAACATTCCGTCGATCGCCATCGGCTTATTATGTTGTGGGACTATCAGTAGCCGATGTCAATGTCTTGTTGATCGTACTTTTTCAGATAGTTCCATCCATGTCAGGAGCAACTTCATCGATTGCTTGTAAGTTAGTACTTTTTTTTGTGCAAATGACGGTGTCTGTCGCAATGAGTTTTCTTTGTTTGTCTGCATTTGATCGATGGGCATGTACATCGCAATCAGCTCGAATACGCCAATTAAGTTCAATTAGTGTAGCTCGTTATATTTTTCCTATTCCATTTATTCTTTGGTCACTTGTGAATATTCCCTTTCTTTTGTATTCTGATCTTGTGCCACCAATATTTACTTGTTTTTTTACCAACGATCTCTTTATGAGAATAGGAGTGCTTTTCTTATCTCCCGTCCTTACTGTCCTTCTTCCTTTAATTGTTCTAATACTGTTTGGACTATTGACATATCGTAATATTCGTCTTGTGAGTCATATTCGTCAACAACCAAATCAAACTCGTATGTCAACATGGGAACAACAAATGACAAGAATGATGTTAACTCAAACTCTACTAAGCATATTTTGCACACTTCCTCGAGCCATTTACATCGTATACGCAATTGCTACACTTGATGAGAGTACAAAGAGAACTTTCGACGAAATGTCTATTGTAGCTCTTGTTGATCAGTTAACTGTCTCCATCACTTCTATTAATTTCGCTTCATCTTTTTACATATTTCTTCTTGCCTCACCACGTTTTCGACAAACGATTCAAATGTATTTGAAACGTGGACTCCATCTAGGACAGAATCAAGTAACTCCCACAAAAAACATAGCACTCACAGCAACAACACATACTGGACGACAAACTGCAAGAGGCACGATTCAACCAATTGTTCAAAGTTAACCATTTTGACGATCATCTAATGAAATGGTCACTGCTCAAAAGACTTTATTTTATTGAAACTTTTACCTCTTTAAATCTATACTAATTTTTTCCTTAACATTGAAATACATAGTATCTTATATGATGTTAAAATCTTTCTTTAATACAAATAAAGTGAAATAGAATAATCATTGTTCTTGACTATTGTCATCTGACTGCTGATGCTTTAAGATAATAAAGAAAAATTACATTATTCTTTCAATGAATATTTGAAAACAAATTTCTTGCACAAGAGAGAAAATAAGATTCGAACATGGCTTTTGATTAGTGCTTCCTTGGGTTATTTGATGATTCTCTTCAACGTCTTGAACAAAAAACACATACTTGGATTTGAGATGATATTGATTAATAGCACTAAGATGGCTCGAAGCATGCATTTATAACACATTAGCTAAGCTGTTGTCACATCATTGGAAATCATCCATGAGTACTGTAACATGTCGAAGATTGCTGTTACTGCTCGGCAAAAGTTATATTGTCTAACGGAATTTTAACATAATAAATTTGCTAACAGTGAATCGTTAAAGCTGGTTTCTTGAGCATGTAACTATATACGAACCAATCATTCAAATAATAGCATCCCGAATCGTTGTGAGTGGACATTTTTGGAATCGTATCCACTTAGGTTTTGTATCTGCTTTTGAAGGGGACATGTGTCACTGCTAATGGATTGCAACAATTCGTGAATCTTTAACTCTGAGAAGTCTGATTTTTCTTGCTTCTCTTGTACTGAAGCAATGCGTCTCAAACATGAAGAGACAGATATTTCCGATGCTTTGTAAAACTCTCGATTTCTGGAAATGTTATCCATGCCTGATTACTAATATGGTTCTTTCACTGTAGATGAAATGGTTTGACTTGATTCATTCGATTTGCTAAGCCTTGTGTTTTCTTTCATTAACTTGAATTACTTTTGCTTGGGGTCTCCTAAACTTGATGTTGATTAAACGATGGTGATTGCTGACTACTGGAAACATCTCATCGTCCAATGGAAAAATAAATCATACGAACGGACTAGTCCTTGCTGGTGGTCATGTATGGTCAAGGAAAGTGATTGAATTAATTTTATTCTCCAATCGATTTGGTAAATTGAAGGCGAAATTCTTCTCAACAATATCCGTTGTTTCTACATCTCTGACAATGGCAAACATGAAGTAAGAAAATATCAAATAGGAGACAAGAATGGAACTATTGTGGTAGACGACCATGGCAAAAGTGTTGGTCTCAATCATTTTAAGTGACCGACTTTCGTTTGTGTCGATCGGCAATAGGCTATCTAAGTATTGAACAACGAAAATCATCGTGCGATGAAATGGAATAAAGGTGCAAAACATGATACTGCCGTCACTGACGATCAAGACAAGGGAAGACTCTGATACGATTGTCGCGTCGTCAAGGACTGATCGTTGATCACTTGGAAATCATCGAACAATGCACTGGCCTAGAGAAGCCAAATAACACACTGTCACTGTGAATGGTAAAGGAGAAAATAAGTGATCCTATCCTGAAGGTTCGATTTTCGATCAGCATGACCATCCCTATGTTGTCAATTGAGGAAATGATCGAGTAGAACGATTTTGTATCGAATAGATTCATTACAATAGTTGATTTTGTTTCTCTTTCTGTCTTATAAATCACGTTGAATAAAAAAGAAATAGCTATTCAATAAAAAATTAAATTGATTCCTATTCTATTCGTAGACACGCAACGAAGTGTCTTCTAGTGACTTCCCGACGGTTGAAGACCATAAACGCAGGAGACAAAGTCGTACGGTAGTGTCAAATTTGAAAATTGAATTCAATTAAATAACTGCTCTACAAACTTCAACTTTCAATCATCTGTGTAATATGAAAACATCTTCCTCACATCCGAAAATGTTATAGAAATATTAGCAACATTTATTTAACGTTCTACTCTCACTTGAGTCTGACTTAATTTACTGCAATCCTTACACCAGCCTAAAATTCGTAAATGCTTTTACGAAGTACTCTTACTTAGAGAGATCGCGTCTATTTATGTTTCAGTGGGCCCCACACAGAGAGAGATGTACATTTATGTTTGAAATTTGAAATTTAAAAGCTGATTTGAATTCAACTGTTCAGTTTAGCATATACTCATCGAGCTGGATGAAAGACAGTATGACATACTCCATTTGAACGTTTTTTCCTTGAAATTTTGTCTCTGTATCTGATTCATTGTCATTTCAAGGATTATTCTCGTATGTTATGACGGCTCCCCGGAAAGTCTTATTCTCTTTAGATTATAGATTAATAATCTCTAACAGCTACTGATGTGCACATCTGCGTCATTAAATGTGATCGACAAACAGTCATCATCTAATTTTGACTTATATCAAACGACTTTGTGTTTCGAATTTCTGTTTCGAGAACAGAAAATATTTTAACAACAACTGACATAAGACATTTAATGACATTTTCCCAAAAATCATCAACAATAGTCTCCATGGCAAACATCTGCTTGTAGCGAGTTTCAATCAACAAATATTCTATTTATTGAATGAATCAATTTGAACTAAATCATTCTTGACTCGCTTGATTTGTCTTTAATGTTTTTCATGTAAAAATATTTTACATTTACCAATAATTACGAAAATGAAAACGGATTGCTCTCCATATGAAGCAGATCTCTTTCTCAAATTGTTTCACAAACGAACAGAAAACGATTCAGTATACTACTTATCTCAAATGACTGCTTGTAGGATATAGGATTTATAAACATGGATAGAAAAGAGACATCTTCCTTCCGTCAAAGAAAATTATACCTGACAGCATGATAATGATGCTATCTTTATCGGAAATAACTGATGGAAGTTTTGATTTTGATGATCAGTGTGTTGTTGACATATCTACATGGTGCTGCCAAGAATTAAATTGGATTTTTTTTTAAGACAGCTTAGGAAGCAAATATATATATAGAGAGAGAGCAGGAAACTAGATAGTGAAAGTGCATTACAATATTTCAATTTCGATTCAAGAAGCATCGTACAAGTTCTCATTCAATATTACAAAAGACAAAGATGTTGGTTCTTGAAGTAGCTCTTCTAATCAGATTTTGGAGTCCAATAATATTTTTTGCAATCGGAGCTCCAGCAGCGTTGCTCAATGCAATAATATTCCTCAGCGTGAAAGCATTCCGTCGATCTTCATCGGCTTATTACGTTGTGGGACAATCAGTAGCTGATATCAACGTTTTGTTGATAGTACTTCTTCAACTAGTTCCATCTACATCAATATCAGTTTCATCAATTGCTTGTAAGTTAATGGTCTTTTGCATTCAAATGACAGTGTCTGCTGCAATGAGTTTTCTTTGTTTGTCTGCGTTTGATCGATGGGCATGTACATCTCAATCAGCTCGAATACGCCAGTTAAGTTCAATTCGTGTAGCTCGTTATATGTTTCCTATTCCCTTTATTCTTTGGTCACTTGTGAATATTCCTTTTCTCCTGTATTGTGATCTTGTACCACCAATATTTACTTGTTGGTTCACAAATGATCTTTTTATGAGAATAGGAGTTCTTTTTTTGACTCCGATTCTCACTGTTCTTCTTCCTCTAATTGTTCTAATACTGTTTGGACTATTGACATATCGTAATATTCGTCTTGTGAGTCATATTCGTCAACAACCAAATCAAACTCGTATGTCAACATGGGAACAACAAATGACAAGAATGATGTTAACTCAAACTCTACTAAGCATATTTTGCACACTTCCTCGAGCCATTTACATCGTATACGCAATTGCTACACTTGATGAGAGTACAAAGAGAACTTTCGACGAAATGTCTATTGTAGCTCTTGTTGATCAGTTAACTGTCTCCATCACTTCTATTAATTTCGCTTCATCTTTTTACATATTTCTTCTTGCCTCACCACGTTTTCGACAAACGATTCAAATGTATTTGAAACGTGGACTCCATCTAGGACAGAATCAAGTAACTCCCACAAAAAACATAGCACTCACAGCAACAACACATACTGGACGACAAACTGCAAGAGGCACGATTCAACCAATTGTTCAAAGTTAACCATTTTGACGATCATCTAATGAAATGGTCACTGCTCAAAAGACTTTATTTTATTGAAACTTTTACCTCTTTAAATCTATACTAATTTTTTCCTTAACATTGAAATACATAGTATCTTATATGATGTTAAAATCTTTCTTTAATACAAATAAAGTGAAATAGAATAATCATTGTTCTTGACTATTGTCATCTGACTGCTGATGCTTTAAGATAATAAAGAAAAATTACATTATTCTTTCAATGAATATTTGAAAACAAATTTCTTGCACAAGAGAGAAAATAAGATTCGAACATGGCTTTTGATTAGTGCTTCCTTGGGTTATTTGATGATTCTCTTCAACGTCTTGAACAAAAAACACATACTTGGATTTGAGATGATATTGATTAATAGCACTAAGATGGCTCGAAGCATGCATTTATAACACATTAGCTAAGCTGTTGTCACATCATTGGAAATCATCCATGAGTACTGTAACATGTCGAAGATTGCTGTTACTGCTCGGCAAAAGTTATATTGTCTAACGGAATTTTAACATAATAAATTTGCTAACAGTGAATCGTTAAAGCTGGTTTCTTGAGCATGTAACTATATACGAACCAATCATTCAAATAATAGCATCCCGAATCGTTGTGAGTGGACATTTTTGGAATCGTATCAACTTAGGTTTTGTATCTGCTTTTGAAGGTGACATGTGTCACTGCTAATGGATTGCAACAATTCGTGAATCTTTAACTCTGAGAAGTCTGATTTTTTCTTTCTCTCTTTCTATGGAAGCAAAATTGCTGAAACATGAAGAGACAGATATTTCCGATGCTTTGTAAAACTCTCGATTTCTGGAAATGTTATTCATGCCTGATTACTAATACGTTTTTTATACTGTGAAGAAAATAATGCGAGTTAAATCATTCGATTCTCAAATTTGTGGATGTCTACGCCAAAGTGCAATTGTCGTCATATTCGATTCTATTTAGACAGCTATAACACATATCAACGAAACTGTTCTTTCGCAATTGTTTGTATCAGAGAGTCTCGATACAGACACTAATGTCATGCAAAGAAGGATGATTTTTTTTTAATATCATGGAATATTTGTTTTAATGTTATGTTATCTTTCGAAAATTCATCAGAGAAGCGGGAATTCATAGTGTAATACTTGCATTTGTCAAGAGTTTTTTTTTACCACACCAACCGTAAGACTTTCAAGAATTTCTTTGTGGGTATGGATTTTAAGTGTAAGTACGATTGTGGTGTATTGGTGATGATAGGAACTTTGAGAATAAAGTGTATACACACATCTTCGTTAATATTTCTCTGATGATCTACAATGACCTACCAGAGACTATCGAAAACATCAGTAATTGTCAACCCCCATATTACTTCTCTGCCAGCAGACTAGGAAACGTTTTTTAGACCTTTGTACTATAATACTCGTATTACTTTATTGGTAAATCATGCCCATAGCACAAGGAGTTTTTTTCGAGTACACTTAGATGTTAATTTATAAGTAAGTGTGTTTCAATCGTATACACTAAATTATATATTGTTGCTATTAACCATTCAATATTTTTGCTGTCCTACTATAATTAAACTAGATTTATTTCAAGAACAAAAAGTTCAAAGCATATAAAGATGAGTATATACGATGCTAATAACTCGACATCAACTTTATATGAGAATAACTGTCGAATTGTTTTTGTTTTGCGGCTTTTTCTTTATGTATATATATGCATATATGAATATTAAATATGACAGATTTCAAAACAAAAAAGAACCGAATTTTTTCTGTTGGCTTGTGCTTGTCGATATCTTTTTAGGTATGAATATGGATTGACTTTATTTTGTGTACATGATTCACTGTGAGTAACATGCGCATTTTGTGTACATTCGTGCACGGTAGACCATATAATACGATAAAAGAAAAAAAAAGAAGAAAACTATGCGCAACAGCGAGCGTTAGGAAATGGACAAAGTTACCTTGCTGCAAAAACAAAGCAACGAATCAATCGATAAAACAAGCAAAAAGTATTACATACACAACATCAAGTCTATTCAAAAGATTCTCGACACAAATTTTTTGATATATTGAGTTCTGTTGATTTTGTTTTGGTAAGTAATTTATTAGAATAATTTTAAAAGTAAAAGCAAGTTTATTAAATAATATACACATAGCACCAACATGATCTGCATATTAGACATGGTTGAGGGAGATATGAAATCAATCTTAATAGTAGATTTTTCTTTTGTACGATCGATTGATAACCATTTGTTAGTTAACACTCTTCTCGGTTCAATTTTATGTGTCCATTTCACACTTATTTATTATTTTATTAGCGTCTATTTATTGACAATATCTACATATTACAGACTTAGTTTGCTTTCACTTTTAACAATGCTATACTTTATATTCAGTTAAATCAATAGATGAATATTGAACTATCAGCATAATCTAACAAAGATTTGAATAGCAAAGCGTATAAAAGAGCTACAAACACAATAGTAAAATCATCATATCAGTGATGATGAAAGTGAAAAGCTTCGAGCCTCTCAGCAATGTCTTAAAGTCAATATGAAATGCTGTGGACCACACAACAATAAAAAAATTTGAGACTAAAAACCTTTGGTCTATAGCACAAGATATTAACACGACGGATGTTTGCCTGGTCGGGGATTGGGAATTGGAATTAATCCTATCTTAAGCCACAGCGACAACCTACATACAATTTGCTTGAAAAAAGCAGGTCGCAATGCTTGCAAGTATAATAGTAAATCTAGAAAGAGTCGCATAGCCATACATGTTGAGCAGGCTTATCGTGGAGAATAAATGATGTTGTTTTTTGCACAATTTCATTTTACTCGTATCTTCTTAAAAGTAATTTTCTCGCGAGAAGAAGGTCCATGTTCCCTGACAACGTCTCTGGGTAAAGCATTAGATTTCTTTCGCGAATGTTCAAAAGAAATTGTAGTCAATTCTCATTCCAAAGAGACAAACTTTAGAGGAACTGTGATTTCGTTTCTTCCATCTAGATGGCAACGACTAGCCTACATTTTGTTGATTCTCTTACTAAGAGCGATGACGATCATCTTGAAATATTTAGTCTTATCTGGCTTGACACAAAAGATCACGTTGAAAGGAACAAAGATACGCAACAAAGACTGCGTCTTATCATCAATCATCTCAAGATCTTTGAACATGTGGAAGAATGTAAGCAATACATAGAGCGAAGATCAATACATGACCGACTAGTGCTCATTGTTAGCGACCAGTTGGGTCGACGGATGGTACCTTCGGTTCACAAACTTCGACAAGTTTCAGCAATCTATGTTAGTTCCACAGACAAGGATAACGATGAACAGTGGACACATAAGTTCGTCAAGGTAGAACTGTTCAGAAAAGTTTTAGTCGTACTATACCACCAATTTAGGTGAAAGCAATTGTTGCTGAACCAGAAGAACTGGTTTCTCGAATCAAAGCAGATTATAAAAATACGATGCAAATCCAAGAACCATTGGCGATCAACATGTTCACTACACGCGATGATGCAGGGAAGTCTACAACAAGAATCAATGGTCAATTTGTTTTTTATCAATTACTTATCGATTGTCTTCTTCGATTGAAATCCAATGAGATGGACAGAAGAGAACTCATTGCTTGTTGCGAAAACGAATACAAAGGTAATCGTGCCGAACTCGCCAATCTACGTGAATTTCAAAAGGATTACACATCTGACAAAGCTTTGTGGTGGTATACCCGTAATTCGTTCTTCTACAAGACTCTGAATGCAGCTTTACGCAAGCAAAATATTCATATGATTTTCTTGTATTGTACATTCATTGCGGACATATGTCGCCAGTTGCAGCGTCATCAATCTTAAAACTCTGTTCGAGTTTATCGAAGTCAGTTGATGTCAATAGATGAGCTAGATAGTCTCAAACAAAACATTGGCCAGTTCGTTTCTGTAAATTCATTTCTTTCTACCAGTAAGCAACATCAAATAGCTGATTTCTATATCGGTGATAGGACCCAACAGATTAGTTTAGAACGAGTTCTATTCGAGATAGATGCTGATCCTATGGTAGTCTCGACGAAACCATTTGCTGATATCAGCACTCTTAGCCAATTTACTGCAGAATCCGAGATATTCTTTATGCTTGGTTCTATATTTTATCTGAACTCTATTAATTGTGGTGACGATCAAGTGTGGATAATAAGAATGTCATTGTGTGGTGATAACGAACACAGTTTGAAGGAAGTTCTTGCAGACATGAAGAAGCAAAATGATACCGGAGGGACCACTCTATGGACATTAGGCAAGTTATTATAGACGATGGGTCAACTTGATCTGGCTGAACAGTATTACAGTCATCATATGAAAGAAGTTTCGCCGAATGAGCCTTCACTTTCCAGTTTGTATGACGATCTCGGTGTGATCGCTTCGTAGCAAGGCAACTACGGCAAATGTATGCTGTGGCGTCAAAAATCACTTGAGACCAGAGAGCAAATCGCACGATCTGATAGTATCAAGACAGGTAAGACGATAAGAGCTATTTGTAGGTTTCATGAACGATTAACAATCACCAGTTAGCAACAAGTTAATAGTATTAACAATATTTTCTCAAAGATAAGGATGTAGATGTTACTCTTCTATTCTAGCATACCCACAGCCCCACGCACCACCACATATTCTATGTCTATATCCTTATGAGTTGAATATTGGATAAAAACAAAATATACTTTATGTTCGACCACTATTCATCTCTATGACATTATGAATTGATTACTCAATTGAAAGAAAAAGTATTGGTGTGTGTTTGAGTGTGTAGAGTTCGAGAACGTGTTTGACCGTGGATCCTCTCTCTACTGACACATTCCACCCTAGGCTATAGATATTAGATAAAAATTTTTCACATAATATTCTCGTAAGAAAACTATACTGATGTTTCCATTATTCAGTTCCACCGAGTATCCTCTCGCCATTTATTTTACACGAAGAACACTGAA